CTGCGTTGTCTTGGCTGTGTGCTTAGGGTCGTTGTCCTGTTGGAAGGTGAACCTTCACCCCAGTCTGAGGGCCTGAGCACTCTGGAGAATGTTTTCATAAAGGATCTCTCTGTACTTTGCTCCATTCATCTTTGCCTCAATCCTCTCCCAGTCCCTGCCGCTGAAAAACATCCCCACAGCATGATGCTGCCACGACCATGCTTCACCGTAGGGATGGTGCCAGGTTTCCTCCAGACGTGACGCTTGGCATTCAGGCCAAAGAGTTCAATATTAGTTTCATCAGACCAGAGAATCTTGTTTCTCATGGTCTGAAAGTCTTCAGATGCCTTTTGGCAAACTCCAAGCAGGCTGTCATGTGCCTTTTACCGAGGAGTGGCTTCCGTCTGGCCACTCTACCATAAAGGCCTGATTGGTGGAGTGCTGCAGAGATGATTGTCCTTCTGGAAGGTTCTCCCATCTCCACAGAGGAACTCTAGAACTCTGTCAGAGTGACCATCGGGTTCTTGGTCACCTCCCTGACCAAGGCCCTTCTCCCCCGATTGCTCAGTTTGGCCGGGGCGGCCAGCTCTATGAAGAGTCTTGGTGGTTCCAAACTTCTTCCATTTAAGAATGACGGAGGCCACTGTGTTCTTGGGGACCTTCAATGCTGCAAAAATATTTTGGTACGCTTCCCCAGATCTGTGCCTCGACACAATTTTGTCTCGGAGCTCTACAGACAATTCCTTCGACCTCCTGGCTTGGTTTTTGCTGTGACATGCACTGTCAACTGTGAGACCGTTTATAGATAGTTGTTGTACCTTTCCAAATCATGTCCAATCAATTGAATTTACCACAGGTGGACTCCAATCAAGTTATAGAAACATCTCAAGAATGATCAATGGAAACAGGATGCACCTGAGCTCAATTTCGAGTCTCATAGCAAAGGGTCTGAATACTTATGTAAATAAGTTATTTCTGTTTTCTATTTTTAATTCATTTGGTAATATTTCTAAAAACCTGTTTTCACTTTGTCATTATGGGGTATTGTGTGTACACTGCTGAGGATTAAAAAAAAATTGTAATCCATTGTAGAATAAGGCTGTAACGTAACAACATTTGGAAAAAGTCAAGGGGTCTGAATACTTTCCGAAGGCACTGTATATCCAGGTATCTTAATGAGACTAATCTGGATAAATAAAGGTGTAATAAATTACATTTAAAAAATGAAAAAAAAGTATGGGACAAAAGTAGTTAGCTCTTCACAATGGCGCGTTGAGCCTATTCTGAAGTGTTTCACTGCCCCTTTAAATGGCACCCATGTGGAGAGGAGAGAAGAGGAGGAGAGATTTTGGCAGCAGCTGGAGAGAAGAAGGGAGGGAGGGAGGTAAAGTGGGCCAGTGTGTCTGCCAGCTCAAGGGGTCTCCTGTGGGACAGGGATGGTGACAGGGACCGGAGCAGCCCATCCACACTAAGCAGCTCTTACTAGGCCAGGAGAAGCACAGGGAAGCCCCACTGACACAGATACCCACTGATACAGGATTAGACGATTTCAACCCTCCAATGGTTATGGTTAGGATTGGGGTAGGGTAATCTGATTCTAGATCTGTTCTCACTAGGCCATGAGAAACAGAGGAAAGTGCCACAGCCAGATGTACATGGGAGTGATCACCAACTCTGGTCCTCGACAGCTCCTTCACAACATTAATCAAGGGGTGTTTCTCAAAATGCATACTACTGTGCTACGAGCACGCAAATTGGAGCACGGGAGGGTCAGAGTACGAGTCCAAAGCAAAGTATGCACTTCTCGAATGCGTACTCCGTTTGTACATATTTTAAAGCATGCATCAAAGAAATATAATGCAACCATGTAAAAAATTATGCACAATTTCTTGAAATCAATGGTGGCCATTATTTGACCTAAAGCGAGAGAAAATACACTACGACTTTGGAATGAAATGTTGCCTATTCACATCTCATATTTTGCCTGACTACAATATTTTATCTTGATATGTTAATAAATACATGCTGTGTTAATTTAGGCATGTTTACCTGCCAATAGGGCTAACCGACTAGCTACGACATATATTTGCTACTACTGTTAGCTAGCAAGATAGCCACAAAGAATTGTTAGCTAGCTACCCATGAAGAACTGACATTTACCTTGCATAACATCTTGTATCTTATTTAGTCTCTATTACCATTGTCCTGGCTGGAAGAAGGTTCAATGAATAAGTAAGTCCATAGTAAGTCAATAGGGCTAACGGGTTAGCTAGCTAGCCATGCAGAATTGGTAGCTAGCTACTCACGAAAAATGTACATCTACCTTGCATAACATTAGTTTTAGGAAATGTTTGCCTGTTTAACTAGCTGGCTAGCTAGATTATTACAATTCACATATACAGTGAGGAGAACAAGTATTTGATACACTGCCGATTTTGCAGGTTTTCCTACTTACAAAGCATGTAGAGGTCTGTAATTTTGTATCATAGGTACACTTCAACTGTGAGAGACGGAATCTAAAACAAAAATCCAGAAAATCACATTGTATGATTTTTAAGTAATTAATTTGCATTTTATTGCATGCATAAGTATTTGATACATCAGAAAAGCAGATCTTAATATTTGGTACAGAAACCTTTGTTTGCAATTACAGAGATCATACGTTTCCTGTAGGTCTTGACCAGGTTTGCACACACACTGCAGCAGGGATTTTGGCCCACTCCACCATACAGACCTTCTCAAGATCCTTCAGGTTTCGGGGCTGTCGCTGGGCAATAAGGACTTTCAGCTCCCTCCAAAGATGTTCTATTGGGTTCAGGTCTGGAGACTGGCTAGGCCACTCCAGGACCTTGAGATGCTTCTTACGGAGCCACTCCTTAGTTGCCCTGGCTGTGTGTTTCAGGTCGTTGTCATGCTGGAAGACCCAGCCACGACCCATCTTCAATGCTCTTACTGAGGGAAGGAGGTTGTTGGCCAAGATCTCACGATACATGGCCCCATCCATCCTCCCCTCAATACGGTGCAGTCGTCCTGTCCCCTTTGCAGAAAAGCATCCCCAAAGAATGATGTTTCCACTTCCATGCTTCACGGTTGGGATGGTGTTCTTGGGGTTGTACTCATCCTTCTTCTTCCTCCAAACACAGCGAGTGGAGTTTAGACCAAAAAGCTATATTTTTGTCTCATCAGACCACATGACCTTCTCCCCATTCCTCCTCTGGATCATCCAGATGGTCATTGGCAAACTTCAGACGGGCCTGGACATGCGCTGGCTTGAGCAGGGGGACCTTGCGTGCGCTGCATGATTTTAATCCATGAGGGCGTAGTGTGTTACTAATGGTTTTCTTTGAGACTGTGGTCCCAGCTCTCTTCAGGTCATTGACCAGGTCCTGCCGTGTAGTTCTGGGCTGATCCCTCACCTTCCTCATGATCATTGATGCCCCACGAGGTGAGATCTTGCAAGGAGCCCCAGACCGAGGGTGATTGACCGTCATCTTGAACTTCTTCCATTTTCTAATAATTGCGCCAACAGTTGTTGCCTTCTCACCAAGCTGCTTGCCTATTGTCCTGTAGCCCATCCCAACCTTGTGCAGGTCTACAATTTTATCCCTGATGTCCTTACACAGCTCTCTGGTCTTGGCCATTGTGGAGAGGTTGGAGTCTGTTTGATTGAGTGCGTGGACAGATGTCTTTTATACAGGTAACGAGTTCAAACAGGTGCAGTTAATACAGGTAATGAGTGGAGAACAGGAGGGCTTCTTAAAGAAAAACTAAAAGGTCTGTGAGAGCCGGAATTCTTACTGGTTGATAGGTGATCAAATACTTATGTCATGCAATAAAATGCAAATGAATTACTTAAAAATCATACAATGTGATTTTCTGGATTTTTGTTTTAGATTCCGTCTCTCACATTTGAAGTGTACCTATGATAAAAATTACAGACCTCTACATGCTTTGTAAGTAGGAAAACCTGCAAAATCGGCAGTGTATCAAATACTTGTTTTCCCCACTGTATCTAGCTGATAATTATGAAGTAAAACGTTTGCTTTGTGTATATCTTGTTTCGTCTATTGTTGCCATTGTCCTGGCTGGAAGAAGGTTCGGTGAATGGGGAGGTGCAGCGTGAGGTAATACAGAGTGTGAGTGCTTCTCAAATGTAATGTTTTATGCGTTCTCAACACTCTCAGCCTCATAAGAACGTACTCTAGAGAACATCCTCGGAGCACACACTCCCCTGTAGCTCAGTTGGTAGAGCATGGCGCTTGCAATGCCAGGGTTATGGGTTTGATTCCCACGGGGGACCAGTACATAAAATATGAAAATGTATGCACTTGCTACTGTAAGTTGCTCTGGATAAGAGTGTCTGCTAAATGAGAAAAATAAAATAAAACATTCGTGAAAATAAATAAATAATAATACAAATAAATAAATGCACTTGGAGCATGAGAGTGTGCAGCACTGTAGTATTAATATTGAGAAACACCCAAGGTCTTGATGACTGGTACTTCTCCACTAAGTTCAAGCTAAAGACACTCACCTAAAAAACATTAAAGGGTAACACTGTCAATTTTCAACCTCATATTCATTACCTCCAGCACCAAACCAGTGTTAAAAAGTTATACCCAATGACATCATCAAAAGTTAAAACATGTTAAAAACAGTGATTTTCAAACACTATGAGATTAGCAAGAAAATACCCTGCCTCTGGCTAGAAACCTGTTGCAGGTTTTGAAAATCACAGTTTTTTCCTTTTAATCCTACCCTGTGATGTAAAAATATAAAAAAAATGATGTCACAGAGAAGCATTCTTTAGGCCCTTTTTACTTCTCTGTTTAACCACAGATCACAGAAATGCACCGTTTTCACATATGTTGACACTGGTATTGTGATGGAGATGAATCTGAGGTTGAAAAGTTGCAGAATTGCCCTTTAACGAAGTCTGGACTGACAAATAGGGAACTTCAAGAAAGAAAGTCACACAATCTTGTATTTCTACCTGATCCCAGTCACCGCTATGTGACTTCATGTTCATCCCCTCTCTGAGTGGCTGGGTTGAGTTCATCCCCTCTCTGAGTGGCTGGGTTGAGTTCATCCCCTCTCTGAGTGGCTGGGTTGAGTTCATCCCCTCTCTGAGTGGCTGGGTTGAGTTCATCCCCTCTCTGAGTGGCTGGGTTGAGTTCATCCCCTCTCTCAGCGGCTGGGCTGAGTTCAACCCCTCTCTGAGTGGCTGGGCTGAGTTCAACCCCTCTCTGAGTGGCTGGGAGGTGTTCATCCCCTCTCTGAGTGGCTGGGAGGTGTTCATCCCCTCTCTGAGTGGCTGGGTTCTAACAGACCAATGGGCCGCTTCCCTTCCCTCTGTTTTCAATCCACTGGAGACACAGAGAGGATGACTCATTTGGGCGGCAGGCAGCATAGCAGGCGGCAGGTAGTCTAGCGGTTAGAGCGTTGGGCCAGTAACCGAAAGGTCATTAGTTCGAATCCCTAAGCAGAAGGTCACCGTTGATAATGGCAGACCCTGGCCGTGACCCCACTCATCGAAGGTGTCTCAGTGAGAGTAAGATATGCAAAAAAAAAAAAAAAACATTTCCAAATCACACATGCGTATTAATAGACACTTGTACATGTGAAATAGGACAAACATAAGCTCCCATCATCTCCCCAACAACAAAGTAAAGCTGGGCTCTTTCCAATTGTATTTGTTTCCACAAACCCTTTTAATCCACTTCAACGTTACAGAGAGGCCTAGCCACTCGTGAAAACAGCAAATGAATTGTGTTTATTATGGATTTATGTCCCCCACTGCAGGTTTATATCTAAGGAGGCTAAGAGGGGTGTTCACTGCTATCCAACGGGGTGGCTAGGGAAAGCTACCCATCAAACGCTGTAAAGGCTTATCTGAGTTATCAGGCTCTGCTTAGACGATGGGGCTGCAGTTACCCCGTCCTTCACTGAGGAGGAATGACCCCACCGGAGTGTGATGTCTCAGTTGGTGGGAGCACAGGGTTGGAAGCACCAGAGGTTCCCACATGGGCCAGCCACTAGAGCTGGGCATTATGGGAAATAATTCATATCGCGATAAATAGCCTGAATTCCTGCGATAACGATAAACAGAACGATAAGTTTAGAACATTAATGTGCACCACAGTTCTTTTTTTATTATACTTTAAACTACTACTACTAGTTTAATGGTTGTAGCCATCAATTGTCCCATTAACAATCACCCATATTAGCAAACTTATTTAATTTCAAACGTCACACTTCTCTAGTATAGTCTATTTATCACAATGAACGATATCAGCAAAATGCCTGCGATAAGTGCTCGGTATGGTCGGTGTCAATCATTTTCAGTTTATCTTGCCAGCTCTACAGGGGCACATATATAATTGTATTCACTTTACGGAATAAAAGTGTCTGGTACATGTATATTTCTACTGTGATATGAACCCTGAAGATACCTAAAGAGGCCTCAACATTAGCTGTGGGAGCTAACAGGTTTTCAGGTCTCAGGAAAGGTTAAAGTTCACAAAACCACCTACGCTACACCTACATCCAAACCTCTCCACTTGACAATTGACTAGACTCACAGACTCAAAATGTTACCTCTCATACAGGACCCAGGAGGACTAGCAAAGCCTGAGGACGTGGGTGGACCCATTTCCACCGCTTCCACTCAGACAAAATCAGAAGCCTCTGAAGAACTAACTAAACAAACAACTTCACTAAGTTGTTCTGGAAGTTTGGGAGCAAGCAAAAGTCTGCTTCTCTGCCATATTGAGCGGTAGAGCATTCGCCAGCCCCCACACGTGTGCGTTTGACTCCGCTCAACACTCTTCCAAACACAGCCGCAACGAACTCTCACCTCGCCTGGGCTCTGAATGCACCTCTTAAACACTGCCGCGGTGCGTTCAACAACAGTATCCCACATGACTCACACTGGGACTGACCCTGATGGTTTAAGGAGCAGCAACACCAGTCAGCCGGAAAACGCAGAGAGCAGACATGGAGAACCACTCAGGACCCCTGATCAGGCAATAACGTCCCTGAGCCGACACACACATCCATGGGCAGAGAGCGTCAACAAACCAAGCATGGCCCCGGTGTCAATCATCAAGCTCACAGTCTCACTGCTTAAGTGGAGGGAGATAGGAACTGAAATGGAGCTGAAATAACTGTAGATTAAAGTAATTGGCGAGCTTTTGAGGGGAACTGACGAAGATGTAGGACAGGGGTGTCAAACTCATTCCACGAAGGGCTGAGTGTTTGCGGGATTTTGGTTTTTCCTTTCAATTAAGACCTAGACAACCAGGTGAGGGGTGTTCCTTACTAATTAGTGACCTTAATTCAAGAGTGGAGCGAACACCCACAGACACTCGGTCCTCTGTGGAATGAGTCTGACACGTGATGTAGGACAAAGAGTTACCAAGGCTGAGACTGGAGGATCATGAGAACCCAAAGTGTTACCAAGGCTGAGACTGGAGGATCATGAAAACCCAAAGTGTTACCAAGGCTGAGACTGGAGGATCATGAGAACCCAAAGTGTTACCAAGGCTGAGACTGGAGGATCATGAAAACCCAAAGTGTTACCAAGGCTGAGACTGGAGGATCATGAAAACCCAAAGTGTTACCAAGGCTGAGACTGGAGGATCATGAGAACCCAAAGTGTTACCAAGGCTGAGACTGGAGGATCATGAGAACCCAAAGTGTTACCAAGGCTGAGACTGGAGGATCATGAAAAACCAAAGTGTTACCAAGGCTGAGACTGGAGGATCATGAGAAACCAACTTTGCTGCATATTTTAAAAGGTAGAGTACAGAGTACGAGACAATCTAAATAAAAATAACCGACAATTAAGATTCAGAAACAAGGAGAGCAAAGCATGTCCATAAATTAGACTACAGCTACTAATATTCTAAACACGTACTGTATAAACAACTGCACTGCAAACTGTATCTAGAGAGGGAGGGTGGGTGGATAGGGAGGGAGGGTGGGTGGATAGGGAGGGAGGGAGGGTGGATGGAAGGATGGATAGTGAGGAATGGAGGAGGGATGGATAGGGAGAGAGGGAGGGAGGGAGGGAGGGAGGGAGGGAGGGAGGGAGGGAGGGAGGGAGGGAGGAAGGAAGGAAGGGGGAGAGATTTAATTGAGTAGGCTTGGAGGCTTAGGACAGAGTTCTCTCTCTCTCTTTCCCTCTCATTCTCCACTGAGCCTGACAGTGGCAGACGGAGTGTGTGTGTGAGTGTTTCTGTGCCCACGTGCCTGTGCCTCTCTCTCTCTCTGTGTGTGTGTGTGTGTGTGTATGTGTATGTGTTGGAAAGGAACAGCACTCTGCTCCCGAGGCGTACAGTAGGAGAAAGAAGGGGGGCCAGTCTAATTTGATGTTTTGTTTTCCACACAGAGAGCAATTATTTTCCTCCTGTTTGTCTGGCTGTTTTCCAGGGTTACAGTAACAGTACCGGGTCTCATATTAACTATCCTACAATAACTAGAAATACAATCCAGGAGAGACCGTAATCTCCAATTACTTCACTAGGATTTCCAACCACTGTTAACTAAGGCCCAAACGGCCCAAAAAAGGTGGACACCTGACAACTTGGAACAAGGTAAATAAAGGTCAAAAGTGAAAGTGATTCTTTGTTTACTTACTGTATGTACCTTTATTGTAGTGTTGTCATATTTTTTTAAACTTACGTTTATTTAGTAAATATTTTCGTAACTTTTCTTTTTTTTTTCTCTGCATTGTTGGTTAAGGGCTTGTAAGTAAGCATTTCACGGTAAGGTCTACACCTGTTGTATTCGGCTCATGTGACAAATACAATTTGATTTGATTCTGATTTATTCTAGTGTTGTCACGATACCAGTATCGCGATACTACAATACCAGATTTTCCTTGGCAAAAAAGAAAACACGCAGCAGACTAGGCTCTATGGTCCTTTAAAACCTACTTTTGTAAAATATTTTGTGCTATAGTTTGCAAAATAAACAAATGTGACTCTGGGGGACAACATAAGGAAGGCTGTTTTTTCCAACATTAGGACTGTTTTCCTTAAGACATTTAGTCTGCTTCATGTTTTGTTTCCTTTGCTTCCTTACTTCCTAGTATCGGGATACCGGTGTCATGACAACATTACTTTATTCAACCAAGTTGGACAAGTTAAGTGAAAGCTTGTCTGTAACAGACTTTCTCAGAACCCTACTTCCCAATCTGACACAGCACCTCTGTGGTGTATAGGTGGTGCCTACCCAGTACCCTACCCTAACCCTACCCAGTGGGGCCGGGATGATACCAGTATTGCAATATTTTTTCCATGGCAAAAATGTAAACACCAAGCAGACCAAACTCTTTGGTCCTTTAAAAACCTGCTGTATGTAAAATATTGCACGCTATAGTTTGGAAAATAAATAAATAAATGTGACTGGATGTAAACATAATGATGTTTGTTTCCAACATTAGGGCAGTTTTCCTAAAGAAGTACCACGATACTAAGGAGTATGGCGATGGTGGTATAGTCCTGGCCCTGACTCAACCTCCTCCATTACTGCCTAATCATGTCGACCTCAGTTCACACCACTGGGCCAGGATGGGCTAAAGCTGGCTGCCATCTCTCTCTGATACTCCCAGTGGTTTACTATTCCAGATCTCTAACAGATTTAACAGCTATTTCTGACCCTGGGTGGGTGTGAACCGCTATGAGCCTCCAACCCAGAATCAAGGCTCTTTTCTTAGGCATGGCGGGCTGGAAGGCGGGCAGGACGGGATTCCCACCACCACGGTGACTGGCCAAGGGAAGTATTTTCCAATCTCCAAGGGCGACGGGTGTCACGGTAACCCAGTGTCTGGATGACTGAGTAAAGCTGGTGGCTGATTGACAGGGGGCGGTAGAGGTGACACTGAGTCAAAGGGTTCTCTTGTTCCTGACGGCCGGGGTGTCTGGAGTTAACAGCTAGAGGAATGCTCCCGGTAACGGAGGAGTGAAGTGGAGTGACGTACTTCAGCATAGTGATGGATAATCAGATGAAGAATAATGAGAATGTGATTACTTAAGTCTCTCGCTGTTTCACACACACCCTCTTGTGTAATTGCCATTGACTCTTGTTTTTCAAAATATGTGTGGTTGTTGTTTTCAGTCTCTCTGTCCCACTGGTCAAAGGAAAGTGGTGAGGAAGACTATGGCTGCCATCTCGGTCTCTTCCTCCTCAAACAGGGCTCACTAAGGCCCTCTCTACAGAGCCCTGAGTTGGTACAGCCCTGAGCTGTATTCCAGTAACACTTCCAGAACATCCACAACCCCTCATCATGCTCTGTTTACAAGATGTGTGCCGAGTAGTCAGACAAAACGAGTATCGTAACGGATACGGGCAATTTTCTGGATATTTATTTTTTGTAATCATCAGCACGCATCTTTCTCATGTTAGTCAGTCAAGAGAGGTACTACGTGGTCTAAATAACTCAATTGCTGCTACGTTGATCCTGCTGCTCTGATTGGATAGAGTGAAGCTGTATTTCTCCGTCCAATCGCTTCATAATTTCACCCGATCACTTTCAATTCTCTGTTTGGGTCTGATCATTCACACTGCTGCCGCCTCCTGTTAGCCTGCTGCTATGATAAACCACATGGCGAGGACGTTTGCTGTCAAGCTATCAATGTGCATAGTATCTAACAAGCGGAGTGAGGGTAGGGGAAAAAAATGAAACGCCGACTGATAGCAAACTTGTCTGCTGATCACGAGTATCATCCGATCCGACTATCAACTGTCAATTTACAGATAAGAGATTAGGAATACGAGTATGTCCACGTCGGTACTAGAGGGAGATGCATTGCATCCAATTGGAGACTTGGGCTCTGCATACCTTTTCTTTGTACAGCTCCTGTTCATTTAAATGGAGAAGATGGATATGCTAATCATAAAGTTAATGCCAGTCATAATGTTCTCCATTACCAGAGAAAGCGGGAGTAAAAAAAGCTGGAGTCATTTGTGGTCTAAACTGTTTATCAGGGATGGGCAACTCCAGTCCTCCAGGGCCAGAGTGGTGTCACACTCTTTCCCCTATTCCTAGCAAACATAGCTGATTAAACTAATTGCATTCTAAACTGAAGATCAGTTGATTAGTTAATTATTGGGGTCAGGTGTGTTAACTGGGGCTGGGGCAAAAGTGTGACATCAATCAGGCCCCCGAGGACTGGAGCATCCCATCCCTGGTTTATAGCTACAGATGTAATGTTGTTTCAGTGCTGCTGCTTTCCTCTGAGAGGTAGGAAATCCATAGCTCTCTGGCTGGCATCTGATTTGGCCTATGGGCAGTGACGCAACAGTGAGGGGTAAAGTAAAAATGCTGCCCTTTAGTGAAAAGTTTAAACTGTTCTCGCTCTGCCCTCCCCCCCCCCCCCCCCCCCACACACACACACACACACTCTTTTCTAGCTCACTAGTCTACCACAACAGGGTATGTGCTAGAGTCAGTAGACTACTGGAAGGCACACCACCACACAAGGGATGAACTTAATACAGTTAAATGTGTTAGCAGTACAACTAGATAAAGGATGCCTTTAATACAACTAAATATATTACAATCCCAGTAATGTATTATGTACTGTCCCAGTAAAAGCATAACCTATCCTATGATCAGCTAATGGGCTATATAGAATACTAATGGTTGCTGTATTAACCCACTGATAGCTGCTGCTGACCTCACTGATTAAATTAACCAGGGATTAGGCTTAATGAAGGCATCAATATACACAGAGAGAGAGAGAGAGAGAGAGAGAGAGAGAGAGGTAGAGAGAGAGAGAGAGAGAGGGAGAGAGAGAGGTAGAGAGAGAGACAGAGAGAGAGAGAGAGAGAGGGAAGAGAGAGGGTAGAGAGAGAGAGACGAGAGAGAGCGAGAGGAGAGAGAGGAGAGAGAAGAGGAAGTAGAGAGAGAGAGAGAGAGAGAGAGAGAGAGGGAGCTGAGTAGTAAACATACAGTATAGTGGATCAGTGGCCAGGGCTTAGTAATCAGACACACACAGATCAGTCACATCAGAGCTGACCAAACCACCCCACCACAACACAACACACCACAACACAGGCCAAACATGTTGATAGGACCAGGGTTTTTACAGATCATGTGAGCTGGCCAGGAAAAACTCTGGGTCTTAGTTATAACAAGGATGGAAAAAGGTTAGAAAAAACAGGGAACGCAAATAGTCAAATTAGTAATTCATATATTTACTATGTAGCTATGTGTTATGTTATTACGATATTAACTAATATATTTACTATGTAGCTATGTGTTATGTTATTATGATATTAACTAAAATATTTACTATGTAGCTATGTGTTATGTTATTATGATATTAACTAAAATATTTACTATGTAGCTATGTGTTATGTTATTACGATATGAACTACCTACATGTACATATTACCTCAATTACCTCGACTAACCTGTGCCCCCGCACATTGACTCTGTACCGGTTCCACCTGTATATAGCCTCTCTACTGTTATTACACATTGACTCTGTACCGGTTCCCCCTGTATACAGCCTAGCTACTGTTATTTTACTGCTGCTCTTTAATTATTTGTTATTATTATTTTGTACTTATCTATTTTTTTACTTAACACTTATTTTTCTTTAATCTGCATTGTTGGTTAAGGGCTTGTAAGTAAGCATTACACCTGTTGTATTCGGCGCATGTGACAAATAACATTTGATTTGATTTGATGAAAGAAAGTTACTATGTAGCTATGTGTTATGTTATTACGATATTAACTAATATATTTACTATGTAGCTATGTGTTATGTTATTATGATATTAACTAATATATTTACTATGTAGCTATGTGTTATGTTATTATGATATTAACTAAAATATTTACTATGTAGCTATGTGTTATGTTATTATGATATTAACTAATATATTTACTATGTAGCTATGTGTTATGTTATTATGATATTAACTAATATATTTACTATGTAGCTATGTGTTATGTTATTATGATATTAACTAATATATTTACTATGTAGCTATGTGTTATGTTATTACGATATGAAAACGGGTCCTAGGGGATTTCTCACAGAACTGTAACATGAAACCATGTGAAAGAATATGATGTCATTGACTGAAAATGGCCCAAAATTTGACAGCTAAAAAACAAGACAACAGAATGTTCTCCTATTCTCCTCTATCTGAACCAGAACCTATATAATTTAGTACACAGTATAACACAGAGGTAAACTGTCCCTGCCCTGAGCCAAGTTCGCTAACCTTAAAAAGTCACTTCCAATCCAATGCACATTCACTCGCGGCCCTGACCCGTGCTAAGTACTGGTGAATTGTTGCCATATTTCAGAGCCATTTTTACGGCATGTGAACCTGGGGGCGATATAGGCTAGCTGGGTCATTCCTACAATGAGGTCCCTTTTCTGGCCCCAGGAAATATCACTTCTTATTCAGTGTAAAATGTGGATCCGAAAAGGCTTTAAATAGGTCAGGTGTCCTTTACCTTAAAAACACACAAATATGAATCTTGAAAGGAAATGTTATGTATTTTGGAAACTTTTTCCAGTGGATGTAGGTGTTTTTGACATGTCCCTGGGTGTTATTCATCCATTTCGAGAAATATAAGCCATAAAATATTGAAATATTTCTTCATTTTATAGTCCTAGTTAAAAATCTCTCAACTGTTTTTTTCTTCTTCTCATGATTATTGTATTTATTATTTAATTATTTAAAATGTAAAATTGTATTTAACATTTTCTGTGTGTCCCTGATATCCCTTTCCACCCTGTTAGTTTGTAGTAATTCTCCTTTAAAGAAAACAGCCCCTTCCCACAATGACATCATGCTCAGGAAGTGTCATCATTTGTTTTGTGGGAAAACAATGGTGCAAAGCTAAATAAATCTAAACACTCTGTTTTATTTATTTATCTGTTTCATGACGTTAGTCTCTTTGTCTCACTCATACATTTCTACCCTGTTAGGCTAAATAACAGAGACAATTCACCAAAATTCAAAATAAATTTCATATAGAAGTTAAAATTCTCGTCAAGTGTTTATTATTATGCTAGCGTAATCTCAATCACCCACAGAGCTATAGCTAATTCAGGCTCCAAATTTCCACCCTGTTAGGTTCCACCCTGTTAGGTTCCACCCTGTTAGGTTCCACCCTGTTAGGTTCCACCCTGTTAGGTAAGAACTGTATGGGAAAATGCACCTAAAATGCCTGAGCTTGACCAATATGTTTTTCTGAAAGTCAAACATGTTATTTTCCTGATAGAATAAAAAAAAAGGGAAAATATAAACTTTTTTTTTCAAAAGTTAAGAGGTCCCAAATGGCACCACAAAGTAGGAATGACCCATCTACTGGTGTATAGCCCACCTCCCATCTACTGGTGTATAGCCCACCTCCCAGTTACTGGTGTATAGCCCACCTCCCATCTACTGGTGTATAGCCCACCTCCCATCTACTGGTGTATAGCCCACCTCCCATCTACTGGTGTATAGCCCACCTCCCATCTACTGGTGTATAGCCCACCTCCCATCTACTGGTGTATAGCCCACCTCCCAGCTACTGGTGTATAGCCCACCTCCCATCTACTGCTGTATAGCCCACCTCCCATCTACTGCTGTATAGCCCACCTCCCAGCTACTGGTGTATAGCCCACCTCCCAGCTACTGGTGTATAGCCCACCTCCCAGCTACTGGTGTATAGCCCACCTCCCATCTACTGGTGTATAGCCCACCTCCCATCTACTGGTGTATAGCCCACCTCCCATCTACTGGTGTATAGCCCACCTCCCATCTACTGGTGTATAGCCCACCTCCCATCTACTGGTGTATAGCCCACCTCCCATCTACTGGTGTATAGCCCACCTCCCAGCTACTGGTGTATAGCCCACCTCCCATCTACTGCTGTATAGCCCACCTCCCATCTACTGGTGTATAGCCCACCTCCCATCTACTGGTGTATAGCCCACCTCCCATCTACTGGTGTATAGCCCACCTCCCATCTACTGGTGTATAGCCCACCTCCCATCTACTGCTGTATAGCCCACCTCCCACTACTGGTGTATAGCCCCACCTCCCAGCTACTGGTGTATAGCCCACCTCCCATCTACTGGGTATAGCCCACCTCCCATCTACTGGTGTATAGCCCACCTCCCATCTACTGGTGTATAGCCCACCTCCCATCTACTGGTGTTAGCCCACCTCCCATCTACTGGTGTATAGCCCACCTCCCATCTACTGGTGTATAGCCCACCTCCCATCTACTGGTGTATCGCCCCACTCCCCAGCTACTGGTGTATAGCCCACCTCCCATCTACTGCTGTATAGCCCACTCCCATCTACTGGTGTATAGCCCCAACCTCCCATCTACTGGTGTATAGCCCACCTCCCATCTACTGGTGTATAGCCCACCTCCCATCTACTGGTGATAGCCCACCTCCCATCTACTGGTGTATAGCCCACCTCCCAGCTACTGGTGTATAGCCCACCTCCCATCTACTGCTGTATAGCCCACCTCCCATCTACTGGTGTATAGCCCACCTCCCATCTACTGGTGTATAGCCCACCTCCCATCTACTGGTGTATAGCCCACCTCCCATCTACTGGTGTATAGCCCACCTCCCATCTACTGGTGTATAGCCCACCTCCCATCTACTGGTGTATAGCCCCACCTCCCAGCTACTGGTGTATAGCCCACCTCCCATCTACTGGTGTATAGCCCACCTCCCATCTACTGGTGTATAGCCCACCTCCCATCTACTGCTGTATAGCCCACCTCCCAGCTACTGGTGTATAGCCCACCTCCCATCTGCCTCATGTGCCCAGGCGATGCCAGCATGGTTGAGTACGTGAGTGAGTGCGTGAGTGAGTGAGTGAGTGTGTGGGTGTGTGTGGGTGGGTGACTGCATGGGTGACTGCGTGGGTGAGTGAGTGGGTGAGTGCTTGGGTAGGTAGGTGAGTGAGTGCGTGGGTGTGTGAGTGTGAGTGTGTGGGTGAGTGCGTGGATGAGCGGCCTGAGCTCCGAGAGCCTGGTCCGTAGAATTAGAACATGAATGTTCCTTCTACTCATTCTTATTGAATGGCCCTTATCAAGCTAATCAATGCTCTGAATTATATAGTTTTTTGGCACTTAAAAAAAAATCACTGATACACTATATATACTAAAGTATGTGGACACCCCTTCAAATGAGTGGATTCGGCTATTTCAGCCACATCCATTGCTGACAGGTGTATAAAATTGAGCACACAGCCATGCAATCTCCATAGACAAACATTGGCAATAGAATGGCCTTACTGAGGAGCTCAGTGACTTTCAACGTGGCACAGTCATAGAATGTCACCTTTCCAACAAGTCAGTTTGTCACATTTCTGCCCTGTTAGAGCTGCCCCGGTCAACTGTAAATGCTGTTATTGTGAATCCTGAATGCTGATTGGTTAAAACCGGTGTCTATTTCACAAGTTACCACCGGATAAAGCTATGATGTTTAAATGCCTATTTACTCCGTTCCATCTCACTGCGCAATCCACTGTCTCATCAACAAAGTCAGGCACTTTATAAACTTGATCTCCACTATAAAAAGCATCTAGACATTATCTCACATTTCTTTTAGACTAGCATTTGGTTTTCAACAGCAGAGATTTGTATAAACCTTGCTGTCTGTCTCTCCGACCTTTTCAATATTGAGTCCCCTGTAGCTCAGTTGGTAGAGCATGGCGCTTGCAACGCCAGGGTTGTGGGTTCGTTTTCCACGGGGGGCCAGTATGAAAAATGTATGCACTCACTAACTGTAAGTCGCTCTGGATAAGAGCATATGTTAAATGACTAAAATGTAAAATGTTTCAATATTGAATTGCGATCTCCACCGTCCCATATAAAGTGAATGTGTCCGAATGAGACAGACAGCAAATTGAGCTGGTTGTCATAGCAACATACACACCTTTTTTACCCCCGTTGACTGGCTAAATCGATACTTTGTTTGCGAAAACTAAAATGGATGAGTGGAAAATGTATGTTGATCTTTTCGGCGGCATGACTATGGCTGAATGGGAGAAAGAGATAGTCATAATACCCAGGCATGCAGATTTGCATTGAATGACCTAGAGAAAAGCCACAACGAAAATAAAACACAGTTAAGAATACAAACTGGGCTGTTCGGTGCTTCGAGGGCTGACTAGCAGAGAAGAAAAAAGTTGTCCACTTCAAAACTGTCACTAAGGAAGAGTTTAACATCCTTCTCCGACAGTTTTATGGAAATGTAGGAAATGGGAAGGGGGAGCAGCACAGCAGAAGTAGCTACCTGCCACTCCGGAGTGGGCTCAACCGGTTTCTAAATGACCCACCCATCGGTCGCAGCTGGTGCCTTATGAAGGACACTGAATTTACCACCTCGAATCATGTATTTCTGGGCAACATCAAACAGCTAAGAAGGCAAGGAAAATATATCACAAACAGCCACCCTCCCATCACCGATAAGGACATGTCCAAGCTCCAAAACTGCCAGGCTCTGAATCCCGGTACACCAACGGGTCTGGTCCAGAAAGTGTGGTTCCACCTCCAGTTACATCTGGGACAAAGAGGAAAAGAGGGGAACAGACAACTAAAGGCCAACTCATTCCTCGGAAAAACAGACGAGAACGGTCTAAGGTATGTTGTTCATAGCCTGTTTGTGTTATTTCTAAGTTGCACTCGTAATTAGGCTACTGGAAAACAATATTATAACAATGTATTCTCTCTCTCAGATACGCCACTCTCGCATATAACGAGGCCACAAAGAATAATCTGTACCCAAGGGAGAGGGGCAGGGAGTCCAAGAGGGGATTCATATTCGAGCAGCCAGGGAACCCATTATGCCCGGTGGCATAACTTGAGAAATATATTTCGAAATGCCCGAAGAACGCCCTTGCATTTTATCTCCACCCAAGGAGAGGAGAGTGTATCGGGGACTCAATCTGGTACACATCAGAGCCGATGGGCGTGAACTATCTGGCAGCACTTCTACCCAGGATCTGCAGGGCAGTGGGAACAACTACATACACAAATCACAGCATCAGGACCACGAGAGTCCAGAAACTGGCCAGTGCTGGTTTAGAAGCAAGGGAGATGATGTCAGTGAGTGGGCATCAGTGCGAAGGTTCGCTCCATAGCTACTGGCGTCCCTCACTGACAGACAGAAAACGCTGGAGCAACATCCTGGCCGAAAACAAAGAGAACAGTGCAGCACCATCAACACCCAAAAGGCTGAAGCAAGGCAGCAGAAGTAGTAGCTGAGACTCCGACAGATATTTCAACCAATGCACCATCCAGGGGAATGTACAGATAAATGTGACATACAATAAGTAGCTATAGCTATCTCAGCTGTGGTGGATAACAAAGATAATGTATGGTTACATTTATTCATTTATTTAGCAGCCGGTGTTTGGAGGATTTATTGGCATGGTTTGCCGGCCCTCGACTTCATCTCGGGCCTAACAACACCCATGCCAATATATCTTCCAAATACCGGCTTCTCTGGCATTATCACTTAAGTGGAAACGTCTAGGAGCAACAACGGTTCAGCCGCGAAGTGATAGGCCACACAAGCTCACAGAACGGGACCACCGAGTGCTGAAGTGCGTAGCGCGTAGAAATCGTCTGTCCTCACTACCGAGTTCCAAACTGCCTCTGGAAGCAACATCAGCACAAGAACTGTTCATCGGGAGCTTCATGAAATGGGTTTCCATGGCCGAGCAGCTGCACACAAGCCTAAGATCACCATGCGCAATGCCAAGCGTCGGCTGGAGTGGTGTAAAGCTCCCCGCCATTGGACTCAGTGGAAACGCGTTCTCTGGAGTGATGAATCATGCTTCACCATCTGGCAGTCCGACAGAGGAATCTGGGTTTGGCGGATGCCAGGAGAACGCTACCTGCCCCAATGCATAGTGCCAACTGTAAAGTTTGGTGGAGGAGGAATAATAGTCTGGGGCTGTCTTTCATGGTTTGGGCTAGGCCCCTTAGTTCCAGTGAAGATAAATCTTAACGCTACAGCATACAATGACATTCTAGACAATTCTGTGCTTCCAACTTTGTGGCAACAGTTTGGGGAAGGCCCTTTCCTGTTTCAGCATGACAATGTCCCTGTGCACAAAGCGAGGTCCATACAGAAATGGTTTGTTGAGATTGGTGTGGAAGAACTTGACTGGCCTGCACAGAGCCCTGACCTCAACCCCATCTAACACCTTTGGGATGAATTGGAACACCAACTGCGAGCCAGGCCTAATCGTCCAACATCAGTGCCCGACCTCACTAATGCTCTTGTGGCTGAATGGAAGCAAGTCCCCTCACCAATGTTCCAACATCTACTGGAAAGCCTTCCTAGAAGAGTGGAGGCTGTTATAGGGACCAACACCATATTAATGCCCTTAATTTTGGAATAAGATGTTCGACAAGCAGGTATCCACATATTTTTGGTCATGTAGTGTAAGTGTCACAGAAGTGTCTGTCTGATGGCTCAGTTGGGTTGAACATCCTGCTTGTGGACCAAGTTGTGGGTGTTTGATTCACACATGGGCTGTTCTAACTGAAGGTGTTGATAAAAGCATCTGCTAAATTACCTTTATTTTATATTTTATATGTATTTTATATCAAAATAAAAGCAAGCCTTCCATCCCCTCTTTTCTCTATTCTCTCTTTCTGTCATCCCTCCCTCCCTCCCTCCCTCCCTCCCTCCCTCCCTCCCTCCCTCCCTCCCTCCCTCCCTCCCTCCCTCCCTGATGGAGAGGCATTGTTGGAGACCAGAGGGTGTTATGCTGTGTCTGTGTCTGTGTCTGTGTGTTGTCATCCTATTATATAATAAAAAAAATGCCCCCCTGGTTGTTATTTCTCATAATAAAGGACTGGAGCTACAATCTGGCCCATAAACACACACACCCCGAAACAGACTGGCTGCTTTACCCAGACCCGCCTGCTGCCAAGACACACAATCTGCCATCACTGTACACACACAGCCCACACCGCTTGTATACACACAGCCCACACCGCTTGTATACACACAGCCCATAGCCGAAACAGCTTTTAACATAAGTGTACACACATAGCATGTTTTAAATATATGTCAACATATCTATATTACTTGCTTGAGTAGATGCCAAATTATACTCAATAGACTCTACAGGGGAACTCAAACTCCTGTCTCAAAGCAGTGTGATCTGTCTATATCGCTCTGTAAATGTGTTACGACAACAATCCTCTAGTAACTCTGATATAGTTATCAAGAGTTGTTTCAGGTCCCCAGATAGGCCTCCCTTCAGGACTTCACAGAGGGACCAGTGGAAGGAGAGATTTGAAATGAACGCAGCAGCAAGAAAAAACGATGCGGATTATCATATTACAGTACAGTCATGTCCTTGAAGTGGGTCACTGCAAACAGATTCATGGGATTTAGCCAGGGTTAGTGTGTGTGACAAAATCTAACTGAATACCACCAAATATAGCTCTTATTCATTTACAGTAGATATATGTTGGTTTAGAATGCGATGGATTGACATAGTGATGGTTTCTCTGCCCCACTTTACATTACATAGGGCTCATACCAGAGTAGTTAACAGACTAACTACCCTGAAACAGAATAGGAAATAAATGTAGTGAAGCAGTACTTACTTCTTTGGTTCATAGGGTTCTGTTCTGCCTGGTTGCACATAGAACACAACCCCTCATATGACATCATCATATCATCAGATATACACAGCATCTGGTATCATGTCTGTCTGTCTGTCTGACCCTCAGTGAGCTGAGAGGTGTCTGTATTGCGTGCTAGATACTGGGAAGGCTTCTTGCCCTGTGGGGCTTGGCTAGGCTGGATGCTATTGGGTTCAGTATCCTCCTGACGCCCCCTCACAGTGAGATAGGAGGAAGTTCAGACCACCCCCATGGCACACGTCATACCCTTAAACCTAGTGTTGAACTCATACCCTTAAACCTAGTGTTGAACTCATACCCTTGAACCTAGTGTTGAACTCATACCCTTAAACCTAGTGTTGAACGCATACCCTTAAACCTAGTGTTGAACTCATACCCTTAAACCTAGTGTTGAACTCATACCCTTAAACCTAGTGTTGAACTCATACCCTTAAACCTAGTGTTGAACTCGTAGCCTTAAACCTAGTGTTGAACTCATACCCTTAAACCTTGTGTTGAACTCATACCCTTAAACCTAGTGTTTAACTCATACCCTTAAACCTAGTGTTGAACTCATACCCTTAAACCTAGTGTTGAACTCATAACTTTAAACCTAGTGTTGAACTCATACCCTTAAACCTAGTGTTGAACTCATACCCTTAAACCTAGTGTTGAACTCATACCCTTAAACCTAGTGTTGAACTCATACCCTTAAACCTAGTGTTGAACTCATAGCCTTAAACCTAGTGTTGAACTCATAGCCTTAAACCTAGTGTTGAACTCATACCCTTTGTCACGTCTCCTCCCGTTGCTCCCCTCCGGTGCTCTGATTCGCCGGTCTACTGAGCCACCGGTCTGAGCGCACCACCTCGGCAACACCGGAATGGAAACCCAACGCACCCTAATCAACACCAGCGCACCTGCACATCACCACCCCTATATAGCCCTGGACTGTTTAGTGTTGTGTTGTGTGTGATTGTTAGTGTCTTGTTGTGTACTCAGTCTTTGTTGTTCACTTGTTCAGGTTTAAGTAAACCTTTACATTGTTGATTCCTGCGCCTGCGTCCTGCCTCTTTGTATCCTCAGTACTCGTCACAGAATCACACACCAATCACGAAGACGGATGCAGCAGGTAATCCTCCTGGAGTTTCCCAGCGCCTCAACCAGCACCAGCAGCAGATTTTCCCAGCTGAGATTCAAGAGGCTGAAGGAGAGGTTTACTACAGCGCCCCTCCTAAAACACCCAGATCCAGCTCGTCCTTTCATCCTGGAGGTGGACGCATCTGAGGAGGGCATGGGTGGGGTCCTCTCCCAGCGGCAAGGTAAGCCATAGAAAATGTATCCCTGTGCCTTTTTCTCAAAAAAGCTAACCCCCGCAGAGAGGAACTATGGAGTTGGAGACAGGGAGTTGTTGGCGGTGGTCCTCGCTCTGGAGGAATGGAGACACTGGCTGGAGGGCACAGTCCATCCATTCCGGATTCTCACTGACCACCGGAATTTGGAGCACATACCGGCAGCGAAACGGGTGAACTCTCGTCAAGCCAGGTGGGCCCAATTTCTTACTCGCTTTCAGTTTATTCTGTCCTACCGCCCAGGATCCCAGAATGTGAAAGCCGACGCACTCTCCAGGATGCACCATTCCAGAGAAAGGAAGGATCTGGGGGGTCCTATCCTGCCTCCGTCTCTCATCGTGGCACCTGTCGTTTGGGATGTGGACAAAGACATCCACCTGGCGGCTTAGGAGGACCCAGCGCCTGCCAACACCCCTCCGGGGCACGTGTATGTACCCACCAGGGTCTGTGACCGCCTGCTGATCTGGGAGCACACCACCCTTACGGTATGACGCGCACCCTACATTCTCTCTCACAAAAATACTGGTGGCCCACCTTGGCTACTGATGTCTCCCGCTATATCAACTCCTGTTCCGTATGTGCCCAAACAAAAACACCTCGGAACGCCCCGGCAGGCAAACTAGTTCCTCTCCCAGTGCCTCAGCGACCTTGGTCACACCTATCCATAGACTTTGTCACCGACCTTCCACTTTCTGACGGCTTCACCACAGTCCTTGTGGTCATAGATCGGTTCTCCAAATCATGCCGTTTTTTGCGACTAACTGGTCTTCCTTCTGCTCTCCAGGTCGTTGAGGTCCCGTTCCAACAGGTCTTCCGGCATTATGGACTTCCGGAGGACATCGTCTCGGACCGTGGTCCCCAATTCACCTCCCGAGTGTGGAAGGCTTTCCTGGAGAAGATCGGGGCCACGGCCAGCCTCACTTCCGGGTATAGGCCTCAGTCGAATGGGCAGGTGGAGCTGGGGAGGTTTCTTTGTTGCCACTGTCAGGACCTGCAGGGTGAGTGGGCAAGGTTTCTTACCTGGGCAGAATATGTTCAGAACTCCCTCGTTCACTCCTCCATGGGACTCACTCCCTTCCAGTGCGTCCTGGGGTACCAGCCAGCCCTGGCCCCTTGGACACCCAGCCAGACCGATGCGCCCGCTGTCGACGAGTGGTTCCGCAGGGCCGGACAGGTCTGGGACACCGCCCATGTCCATCTCCAGAGGGCCATTAGTCGGCAGAAGGACCAAGCCGACTGCCACCGCAGTGAGGCCCCCGTATT